GGACAGAGTGACGTGTGGGGACAGAGTGACGCGTGGGGACAGAGTGATGCGTGTTGGGACAGAGTGACGTGTTGTGGACAGAGTGACGTCAATGCGGAGCAGAGTGATGTGTGGGGACAAGTGACGCGTGGCGACAGAGTGACGTGTGGGATAGAGTGACGTCAGGCGGGGCATAGTGACGTCAGGCAGGGCAGAGTGACGTCAGGGGGGACAGAGTGATGCGTGGGGACAGAGTGACGCGTGGGGACAGAGTGACGCGTGTTGGGACAGAGTGACGTGTGTGGACAGAGTGACGTGTGGGGACAGAGTGACGTGTGGGGACAGAGTGACGTGTGGGGACAGAGTGACGTCAGGCGGGGCAGAGTGACGGCAGAGTGACGTCAGGCGGGGCAGAGTGATGTGTAGGGACAGAGTGACGTGTGGGGACAGAGTGACGTGTGGGGACAGAATGACGTCAGGCGGGGCAGAGTGATGTGTGGGGACAGAGTGACGCGTGGGGACAGAGTGACGCGTGGGGACAGAGTGACGTGTGGGGACAGAGTGACGTGTGGGGACAGAGTGACGTGTGGGACAGAGTGTACGTCAGGCGGGGGGCAAGAGTGATGTGTAGGGACAGAGGGACGTGTGGGGACGCAGTGACGTGTGGGACAGAATGACGTTCAGCGGGGCAGAGTGATGTGTGGGGACAGAGTGACGCGGAGGGACAGAGTGACGCGTGGGGGACAGAGTGACGTGTGGGGACAGAGTGACGTCAGGCGGGGCAGAGTGACGTCATGCAGGGCAGAGTGACGTCATGCGGGGCAAAGTGACGTCATGCGGGGCAGAGTGACGTCATGCGGAGCAGAGTGACGTCAAGCGGGCAGAGTGACGTCAAGAGGGGCAGAGTGACGCTTTAGAACAGAGTGACACGTGGGGACAGAGTGACGTGTGTGGACAGAGTGACGTCAAGCGGAGCAGAGTGATGTGTGGGGACAGAGTGACGCGTGGCGACAGAGTGACGTGTGGGGATAGAGTGACGTCAGGCGGGGCATAGTGACGTCAGGCAGGCAGAGTGACGTCAAGGGGGACAGAGTGATGCGTGGGGACAGAGTGGCGCGTGGGACGAGTGATGCGTGGACAGAGTGACGGGTTGGGACAGAGAGTGATGTGTGTGGACAGAGTGATCGTGTGGGACAGAGTGACGTGTGGGGACAGAGTGACGTGTGGGACAGAGTGACGTGTGGGGACAGAGTGATGTGTGGGGACAGAGTGACGCGTGGGGACAGAGTGACGTGTGGGATCAGAGTGACGTCAGAACGGGCAGAGTGACGTGTGGGACAGAAGTGACGTGTGGGACAGAGTGAGTGTGGGGGACAGAATGACGTCAGGACGGGGCAGAGTGATGTGTGGGGACAGAGTGACGCGTAGGGACAGAGTGACGCGTGGGGACAGAGTGACGTGTGGGGACAGAGTGACGTCAGCGGGCAGAGTGTACGTCATGGCAGGGCAGAGTGACGTCATGCGGGGCAAAGTGACGTCCATGCGGGGCAGAGTGACGTGTGGGGACAGAGTGACGCGTGGGACAGAGTGACGCGTGGGACAGAGTGAACGTGTGGGACAGAGTGACGTGTGGGGACAGAGTGACGTGGGGACAGTGACGTGTGGGACAGAGTGACGTCAGGCGGGCAGAGTGATGTGTGGGGACAGAGTGACGTGTGGGGACAGAGTGACGTCAGGCGGGGCAGAGTGACGTCATGGCAGGGCAGAGTGACGTCATGCAGGGCAGAGTGACAGTCAGGCGGGAAGAGTGATGCGTGGGGACAGAGTGACGCATGGGACAGAGTGACGTGTGGGACAGAGTGACGGCGTGGGACAGAGTGAGGTGGGGCAATGAAGTGAACGGCGTGGCGACACGAGTGAGCGTGGGGACAGGGAGGTGGAGACAGAGGGCGCGTGTGGACCAGAGTGACTGTGTGGACAGAGTGTGGACAGTGACTGTGGGGACAGAGTGACGTGTGGGGACAGAGTGACGTGTGGGGACAGAATGAACTCAGGCGGGCAGAAGTGATGTGCTGGGGACAGAAGTGACGCGTGGGGACACGAGTGACGTATGCGGGACAGAGTGAACGGTGTGGGGACAGGAGTGACGCATGGAGGACCGTGAGAGTGACGAGACGTGTGGGCAGAGAGACGTGTGGGGACAGCAGTGATGTGTGGGACAGAGTGTGTGTGGGGACGGGTTGACAGAGTGACCCGTGCGGACAGAGTGACGTGTGGGACACGAGTGACCGTGGGACAGAGTGACGTGTGCGACAGAGAACGAGTGGACGTGTGGGGCAGGTGATGTGGGGAAAGAGTGACGGCGTGGCACAGAAGTGACGTTGTGGGACAGAATGACGTGTGGGGGACAAGAGTGATGCGTAGGCGACAGAGTACGTACAGAGTGACGTCGTGGGGACAGAAGTGACGTGTGGGGATAGAGTGAGTGTGGGGACAGAGGTGACGTCAGGCGGGGCAGAGGTGATCGGCACGATGACGTAATGCGGGGCAGAGTGACGTCGGTGCAGATGGACGCGAGGCAGAGTGACGTTGAGCAAGGCAGAGTGACACAGATCACTCTGTCCCTACGCGTCACTCTGTCCCCACACGTCACTCTGCCCCGTCTGACGTCACTCTGTCCCCACACGTCACTCTGCCCCGCCTGACGTCACTCTGTCCCCACACGTCACTCTGTCCCCATGCGTCACTCTGTCCCCACGCGTCACTCTGTCCCCACACGTCACTCTGCCCCGCCTGACGTCACTCTGTCCCCACACGTCACTCTGCCCCGCCTGACGTCACTCTGTCCCCACACGTCACTCTGTCGCCACGCGTCACTCTGTCCCCACGCATCACTCTGTCCCCACACGTCACTCTGTCCCCACACGTCACTCTGTCCCCATGCGTCACTCTGTCCCCACACGTCACTCTGTCCCCACGCGTCATTCTGTCCCCACACGTCACTGTCCCCACACGTCACTCTGTCCCCACACGTTACTCTGCCCCGCCTGACGTCACTCTGTCCCCATACGTCATTCTGTCCCCACACGTCACTCTGTCCTGCCTGACATCACTCTGTCCCCATGCGTCACTCTGTCCCCACACGTCACTCTGTCCTGCCTGACATCACTCTGTCCCCACGCGTCACTCTGTCCCCACACCTCACTCTGTCCCCACATGTCACTCTGTCTCCACACGTCACTTTGTTACCACATGCCACTCTGTCCCCACACCATGGTTCGCACAGTCCTTGAAAAGTCCTTGAATTTGGGGGGAGTCTTTGAAAAGTACTTGAATTTAGTTGATTTTGTGCTTGAAAAGTGCTTGAATTTCATGAAAATGTCCTTGAATTTTTAGAAGGAATCCTTGCCTGTAATAAAAAGAAATTTTGTACCATCAATAATGTGCAAACCTCAATAAAAATTGCGTTAAATGAGCTTAAAAAGCTATAGACACGATAGACAGTTAAATGATGATCACAAATTACAGTAAGTCAGTCAAATCAGTCAGTAGTATGTTGTAGAAGTGACAGTGTTTAGAAGGGTTTATTAATGTGATCCAGGTAAGTTTTAAAGGTGACATGCAGTGATTAAGAATGGGGTTATTAAATTAATCCAGGTATGTTTTGTTCTGTGTATGAATTCCGATAAAATGTCTGATAAAATGTCCTTGAATTTCCGATAAAATGTCCTTGAATTTCCGATAAAATGTCCTTGAATTTCCGATAAAATGTCCTTGAAATGTCCTTGAAAAGTCCTTGGAAAAAATTTCAGTCCTCCTGTATGAACCATGCCACACGTCACTCTGTCCTTACGCATCACTCTGTCCCCACAAGTCACTCTGCCCTGCCTGACATCACTCTGTCCCCACACGTCACTCTGTCCATACGCGTCACTCTGTCCCCACACGTCACTCTGTCGTCACTCTGTCCCCACACGTCACTCTGCCCCGCCTGAGGTCACTCTGCTTGCGTGTGTAGGCGTCGAGGAGACGCACCAGGCATTGAAGGAGCACACGGACTCGCTGGAAGCGACGCTCGCTGGCCGTGAGACGACCATCGTGGAGCTGGACGCGCATGCGCAGGCCGTGCTGCTCAGCAAGGAGCAGGAGAACCAGACGTGCCGGCAGCGCATGAAGAGCTTGCAGCGCGAGATCGACGAGCATAGGAGGAGCATAAAGGAGCTACGCACGCAGGTCTGTCTCTCTGTCTGTCTGTGAATCTGTCTGTCTCTCGTGCTGTCTGTGAATCTGTCTGTCTCTCGTGCTGTCTGTGAATCTGTCTGTCTGTGCATCTGTCTGTTTCTCTGTCTGTCTGTGCATCTGTCTGTCTGTGAATCTGTCTGTGTCTCTGTCTGTCTGTGAATCTGTCTGTCTCTCCGTCTGTCTGTGTATCGTCTTTGTCGCTCGCTGTCTCTGTCTGTCATTGTGTCTGTCTATCTGTTTCGCTCTCCGTTTCTCTTTCCCCATCTCCTCTTGTTTTCTCGCTCCCTGTCTGTCTATCTCTCTCTTTCGCTCTCCTTCTCGCTTTCCCCTTTTCCTCTTGCTCTCTTTATCTTGCTTTCTCGCTCCCTGTCTGTCTATCTTTCTTCTACTCTTCATCTTTCTTCAGTATCCTTCTCCTCCTCTTTCCCCCTCTCCTACACTCCCGCTATATCTTTGTTTCATTTTCCTGCATTTTCTTTCCATCACCCTGTTATCTTCATTCTCCTCTTCGTTCATCTGTCTCTCTTTCTTCATATTTCTCTCCGTTGTTGTCTTTTCATGTTGAATTTCTGTGTTGGATTTTTACTCTTCATTAAATGATGCTCGCTATATCTATATAAACGCGGATAGCATGTGGGAATTAACCAGAAATGCTTCTGGACGGACTTGCGGCCCCGGTTTTTGCGCGCAGCGCACAGCTCGCGGCAAAGCCGCGCCCCAACAGCGAATACGCCGCCCCCTTTTTGTCCATTTAGACAGATATCTGAGACAGGGGTCTGAAAACGCACTCCGCGAAAACTGGGCGCAATCCAACCGACATTTCGGGATGGACGGCTTGAGGCCATCTCCAAACGGTCCCTAAACTTTTTTTGGAGTGGCGCGCCTCATGGCTAAGACGTAGTGGCTCCTACAAGAAAATTCCAGAAATGCTGTCAATCAGCGATGACGAGCTCGCTCGTTGGCCGTTACGCGATGACGGGCACTACTGCCGAGTATAGAGTTATGTCTATCACAGAGCTTTTTACGAAGTGTCGTACGGCGCTCCACGTGGGGTGGCGCGGCTTAGATGCTATCTTCAAACGCGCTCCCGCCGTGCCGGCGCCTGACTGCGTACGTGCGAGGTTTTACCAACCTATTGACCCCGCGCTGCCCGTGGCGACGGCACGTCGTGCGAGCACCTGCGCTGGCGTGGCGGGCGAATACTGCGAGCACGGGGTGGCGTGGCCGTGCCAGTTTTTACACGTAGCTAAGTAGATACTCGCAAAGCAGCAACAGCAACAAAAACTCGCCCCTGCCGCGCAGCGCGGCTCTGCAGCAGCAGCAGCAGCAAATGCCCCCACCGAAGGCCGCCATAGCCGAGCCGGTGTGTGACGAAAACTGCGCGATGTTACGCTTCCCGCTATACGGATTCGCGCGCCCGCCCTCCTTCGGCGCGCGAATCCGTAGAGCGGGCAGCGCGGGATGCTGCGACACACCGAGGTCGCGAGACACACCGCGGTCGCGTGCGCCCAGTCCCGCGGAAGTGCGCGGCTTAGCCGCTCTCGGCGGTTGGGGAACAACGCATCTTTTGCGCAACGCCATCTTGTACCTGGTCTCTCTGGTTTTCAGCTACTAAGTGAGAAGGGAGGCAGTGTGAGGAACAAGCGGAATGTGGAGTCGATGACAATGAAGCTGGATCAGCTTGGCCAGGACCTCAAAAACAAGTGCGAAGAGGTGAAATTATTTGGCTGGGCACTATATACTGATCTCTGTTTGCCTTTTAGGTAACTTTATGTAGAAAGCCAAGTAGACTAGTCGTTGTGAGGAGCAACAGCTGAAAGGTTTCATTGCATAGTCAAACTATTAAGTCTTGTTATTGTTCAAGCTATATTGTTCATATATGTACTGAATGCAAAGAAGGAAGCTTGATTTAACAACTATTTCAAAATAAATTCTATTGTTAGTATTCAATTTAAAAAAATCAATTGTCAAATTTGCCAAAAAAATATCAAATTGCATTTGATATCAATCATTACAGGTGCAGTTGTTGCGTGTGGAGTTTGATCGCAGTCGTAACTCCGAGATGCGGTACAGGGAGCGCTGCAGTCAGCTCGATACGGAAGTTAAGGCGCTGCGCACAGATGTGGAACGACTGCGGCGCCAGCTGGTGGACACAGAGGCAAAGGACCCAGTTCTTGTTGAACAGATGAAGGTGATATAAAAATAAGATGAGTGGCTATTTTACATGTCATCCTTTGTTTAATTAAACAGTGTCTTGGGCCTTAGCCTCTGGTAGGGGCAAGGGGTAACTCCCTCCTCCCTAGATTATGAGTAGAAATTAAAATTAAAGATTGATAAATGTAAATAATCCTAAAATGAAAGTACATCGTCATTCATTTTTCTGTGAAACCATCATTTTAGACCCACCACCGCCACAGCACGTGTGCTGACTTGGAGCTGTGCCCCTCTCTCGTCATTACGCAGCTGAATTACGAAATCACAATATTTCACCCCTTTGGAAATTTTGTTCAATGAAAATTTCATGGGTAAATCTATAGTATTTGGTTGTGTCATGTGGTCAGGCAGAGTATTGCAGTCGAACTTGTTACTATGAGTTTAATGAAAGATAAGTTGTTGCTCATGATATAAAGGTGGCACCACTATTGCAGGGCATGCTATATTCCACAGCATAGCAAATGGCATTTTAATGGCACATACATGTGCAGCTTGATTCTCATTAATGTGGACCATTATTCATGCGGCAATGGTGGCGCAGTGAATGTGGTGTTACACAGGTAGGCAGTATTGTTACCAGTGTCAGTAATTCCTACTGCTGCACACTCAATATCACCTACTAAAATTATCATTTGACATGGCAGACTCTCACGTGGCATCTGAGGCAGAAGAATATAGAGATCGACGGACTGAGGGAGCAACTGAAACTATCTGAGGAGCGGCAGGGTGCAGAGATTGATAACGTTAAAAAGAACAGCCTGGTAACATTGGATGATGAATTAACATGCCAGAGTCTCGCTCGCAGATCGACGACCCTATAATGAATTATTAACCTTAGGACGTGCGTGATCTAGATCATTCTAGTAGTGTGGAAATTGTGGAGTTTATATCTGTGATTGCACGTCTGTGAGATGTACAAACCTTTATGGTTATGAACTAGACGTCACGGTAGGTTTCGTCTCCATTGTGCCGTTTGGGTTTGTTTTTAATGTGGAACAAAGTGCTGCTGGTAACAGGTAGTGGCGCTGCAGCTTGTTACCATGGTAATGCCTGGTTGCGTCTGCTTATGATTCGGAAACGTATTCAAGTGATTAAATATTCATTGACACCATCAAGTGATTATGAAGCATTCAGTGCTCTGTCACTTATCGATCAGCTTTCGTGACTAATCCACTGAGGTGAGCTTGACTTATGTTGGCAAGCATGTACCATTTCATCTAACGATTACTGTCGCAATCGCTGACGGCCAGGATGTGGTGAAGTGTTAATTGTACATTCATTAGTTCTGCTCGTCATTAATGAATGAAGTGACTCACTGGCGAGTTTTGCCGATTTATTGATTCATGAGCGCATAGACGATTCGTCAGTGCTAGTGCCGCTTTGGGATCTATTTAGTCAATACTGGTCATTAATTATTGATCCCCCCGTACGTGCAGGTGTCGGGGAAGGAACTGGAGTCTATCCGGCACGAGCTGGCGAACACTAGAGAGGAGAAGTTCAGCTATCAGGCCAAGATGGTGGAGCTGCAGGCAGCCCTGAAGGCCACTGTGGAACACAACGAGGTGATGGTTGCGTTACTGATGCAATTACAGAGATAATCATTATATTAATATTCTACACGGGTGTGGTACGTTGGTAAATATTAGAATATGAGCCCAGAGATTCTTCAGTGTCAATTTAGATGGCTTTTTCGTTGCTTGAGACGTATGGCTTATTCCAGCATTTTATATAGAGTTCATGAGGTGCCTATAGTTTAGGCTGAAGTTTCTCCAATTTTAAAAAAGGGCAGTCGTATTTGAGACCCAGACCAGTCCCGTAGAGTTGTAAATTGATTTGCACATTTCGGAGCAGGTTACTTTGAACGATGATTAAGTGCGATTCTGCACATCAGTACATCGGCGAGTGGGTCATTAGTTACGTGGTTCATGTGAAAATGCAACTTGCTTCTCAATTACAGGGGAAATTGTTTGTGCATCCTAAACTTCTTGAGTAACTTCTTGCTTTTACAATTCAAGTATATTCTTTGAATCGTAGATGCTTAAGAAGCTGCAGAAGGGGGAAGTTGGGGAAGAGGAAAGCATACTGGCACAGCCACGGTACAGCATGGCCGCCATAGAGGAGCTACTGCAGCAGAGTGTTGCTTCAGCCAAGTCCAGGTCTGTAACACAAACACAACGTTAATCCGTTGAGATTAGCTGATATTTTGGCGTAATTTTGGTTTGGTATTTTTTGTACTATTTTTTGTATATCCAACTCATGCATCTGTTGTCATTATATATATATGTATATTATGTGATATATATGTATGCATATATTTATATATATATATATATATATATATATATATATATATATATATATATATATATATATGTTTGTGTATGTGTGTGTGTCTGTGTGTGCATTGTAGGCCATTGCACAGCCTGCAGGCCTGCCTGAAGAACCTGCGTAATGAGATGCAACAGCTACAGCAACAAGTGAGCGATCACACAAACGCCATACAGAATACTGCACAGTCATGGAGGTACGGGATCTCTGACAATGCCAAGAGCACTCGAGAATAGTCGAAAATCATTCCGCACCATACACGTAATCGCGTGAAAATATTGCAACTCTACACACTGTAATTTTTTTCTGTGTCGAAATTTTATCATGTTGAGTTTATCACGCTGATTTACCGCAGAGGTTATTGTTCATGACTTTATCATGCTTATTACACTTATTCCTGTGAGACATTGACCCTCTGCCTGGTTTTGTCGTGACTAGGCATGTTGAGAGTCAAGTGAAGGTAATCAAGGAACAGTGTACGTCTGGATTGATGGGAACAACGAATTCTCCCACCACGACAAACTCCAACTCTCAAACTGCAGTAGAAATCGTCTAGACGCCAACGACACGGGGTCAGGACCTTGCGTGCAGTACATGATCGGACTGGATTTTCTGCGAGTGAGATTCTAGAATTATTCTGAAAAATGTCTGCCTTAATCACTATAATTATTTACTGAGCTATGTGGCCAAGTGTAACACATATAGTATCGACTGCTAGATGCATGTAAGTTTTAAATGGTTATATTGGTGCAAGAAGGTGTTGGGAGAAATTGAATGGAGATTAACATAAGTGTTCACAGGAACACAATATACAGATACATTATAGATTCTATTCTGTTACTTGGACTGTTTAACATTATTTAATGAACTTTATGAGTAAGTTTCAGATAGTTTGCATCTAACTTCTAGAGAAATCGTCTGTTTTAATCTGTTCATCTTTTTATTTGTACTGTTAAACATTATTTTATTAGTTTTATGACCGATTTTCAGATCATTTACATTTAGCTTCCAGAGAAATCTGCTTTAATCTGTTTATGTTCGTTTGTTTCTAAGGTTGTTGCCATAAATATGCCAAAATTTTAACTCACTTTGTTAAAATGAATACGTGTAGGAGAATATACAACGCATCGTAGAGTTATATATTCATATTAGCCGTTCGTGTTTTTTATATTTAAATGTGTTGAATGGTAATGGTATTCTGCAGCAGTACAGATAGTAAAAGCAGGCCCGATTGGCTTCTATTACTTTCTGAATAAGTAGATGTGATGGGCGTTACTAAAGATAAATAGTCTTCCTGCTTAAAATACTTGTTACCAGAACGTGATGGCTATTTATCTATTATTGTCGGGACAGTCATGCTAGAATGTCTACATCTGCTCAACAGATGTGCACGGATTTTTCGTGTCTTACATGACTTTTCAATGAAGGGTTTTCATAAAGACATTAACGTTTCAAGTTAAGTGCAACCGTTTGCTTCCTTTTTGTGCAGGTGCTGGGAGTCGACCCTCTCATTGCTTTCTGTGTATTATGAAATATGTAGCTTGTTTTTATATTTAAACTTTATTGGTCTTATATTATATTATATGCTCTTGATATTATATATGCATGTATGTATGTTTATATATATATATATATATATATATATATAATCAATAGCTTATAAGACCCAATAGCTTGAAGGTATTATAAGCTCTTGGTATGATCATACATGCGTGGCATACGACAATCAAGAATTTCACGTTATGAGCTACAAATTCATACGTGCTGCATGTGAATTTATAATGCTAATGTGGAGGAAAGGTTCATCTAGCAATTTAGCTGAAGTGCAACACATTGTAAATAATCCGTAACCGTTTTAATACAGAGGCAAATAAAATGCATTATTTAAGCTGATTTGCTGCTTATGAATTATAGCTGTTGAGAACCCGCCGGGAGAGCCCATGTCAAGAACTGAGTGTATAACCCCGCCCCCCCCACCCCACCCCACACACACACACACGCACGCACGCACACTATACCATCCATGGACGCAGAGCAGTAATAAGACATCAGAAATCTCTATCTGAATATCTCACTTTGATAAGGCACTCCCAAGTTTCACTATTACTATAGCATGGCTGACATGTGTGTTTGCACATGCTAAAATCTGCCAAAAATAATATGTTGAAATTATACGTTTTAAATATAGAGCACACACTTATTCAAGTTATTGGTACAGCACATAACAACAAGTGCCGCAGAGCGACAGGGCTCATCTGGTGTCTGGTGTTCTGCTGATAAATTCATTTGTGCATAGCAAGACGTCCTATACATACGTTCATTCCTAACCCAAAAAAACAACACTTCAAACTAGTGTAATAAAATTCCGATAGATGGCGGGCCGCTATCAAAGGGACCGTTGCGGTGGGGTGTTGCTATCCCCCGGGCGTGGAGTGAGGGTCACGCAACGTGGCAGCACTAGTGTTAGGATTAGGGTTAGGATCAGGGTTAGGGTTTGGGTTTTTGCATCTTGATATCTGTCCCCACACCACAGATTAATTTTTGTGGATGACGCCCCTATATATAGCGATCCGATATATAGATATTTAGTGTTGGGGTTAGTGTTGGAGTTAGTGTTACACTGTATCTGTTAGTCTGTGTCTCTGCTGTTATGTTTTGAAGTATACGTCAACTGTATCACGTGACTCTCACTCCACGCCCGGGGATGGCAACACCCGTTGCGGGTGGCGTGATTTTTTTTCCTAGGTCAATCAAAAACATAGGGCTCTAGTGAGCGCTGCCATTGGTTGATACAAATCACGTGCCTCAAACTCCTGTTTTGTGGTGCATTGTGACCCTAACCCTAACCCTAACCCTAACCCAAACCCTAACCCTATTTTAAAAAATATATAAAAAATTTAATTTTTAATTGTTGTAAAAATTAATTGTTGTTATTAAATTGTTGTAAATAAATCATGTAAATATTTGCATTAATTGGAAAAAAATTGTTAAACGGATAAAGATAGAAAAATACAGAAAACAGGAAAATAATGAAAAAACCGATGGGATTCGATCCCCGACCTTTCAGCCTTAACTTGTGTGCTGTATTCGCTCGGCTATTGAGGTTTTTTGGAATTATGGATTTTGGATGTGCTATGAATATGACGATACTGTGACGTCATTGAGTGACGAAACAAGCTCAACCAATAGCAGCGCTCACTAGAGCCCTGTTCTTGATTGACTTAGAGAAAAAATCACGCTTGCGGCGGGCATATGTTTCCATGACCCAAACTATGGTCGTGACGTCAGTGTGACATCAGTGGCTATCTACCACCATAGACCAATCATGCACGCATGGCACATCCATAATATATTATTCCAATTGGGTTTGTCTATATTCAGGCCGGTACAGGAGATAATTAGCATATTTTATCACGTGGTTTGTGTTATAACCAATCAGATGTAATCGCGTGTTCGTGACGTCACTTCCAGCTGTGAAGAAGATGGTGAAGGAGGAGGAAGGGGAGAAGGGAGAAGGTGGTGGAGAAGGAGGAGGGGAGAAGCTGGTGGAGAAGGAGGAAGGGGAGAAGGGAGAAGGTGGTGGAGAAGGAGGAGGGGGAGAAGCTGGTGGAGAATGAAGAAGGGAAGAAGGGAGAAGCTGGTGGAGAAGGAGGAGGTGGTGGAGAAGGTGGTGGAGAAGGGAGAAGGTGGTGCCAGGGAGAAGGGCACCTCCCTGCCAACTTCACCACCTCCTCCTTCTCCACCACCTCCTCCACCAGCTTCTCACCTCCTCCATCTCCACCAGCTTCTCCCCCTCCTCCACCACCTTCTCCCTTCTCCCCCTCCTCCACCAGCTTCTCCCCTCCTCCACCGCGATTACATCTGATTGGTTATAACACAAACCACGTGACCAAATATGCAAATTATCTCCTGTACCGGCCTGAATATAGACAAACCCATTCCAATTACGCTGAATAGCCGAGCTCGTACGCCGGCGGGCATTACGTCTGAAAGTCGTTGGTTCAAAACCGATCTGTTTATTTTTTTTATTTTTTTTTCTATCTTTATCCATTTAACTATTTTTTCCCAATTAACGCAAATATTTATATGATTTATTTACAATTTTTTATTACTTTTTTTTATTTTTTTATTAAATTTAATTTATTTGTGTTAATTAAATTTAATTAGGGTTAGGGAGTAGGGCGTAGCACGCAACCACCAGCACCATCAGCAGGCTGTATGCATTCAACTTCGGAGATGTCGGCATATGTTTCCATGTTGCAAAGTATGGTCGTGACGTACACTGACGTCACGCACAAACTCGGCTGAATGCATATACAGCCTGTATCGCAGAAACCACCGCAACCTACGCCCTACTCCCTAACCCTAACCCTAACCCTAATTAAATTTAATTAACACTAATAAATTTAATTTAATTAAAAAATATATATAATGTAATAAAAAATTGTAAATAAATCATGTAAATATTTGCGATAATTGAGAAAAAATTGTTAAATGGATAAAGATAGAAAAATAGAAAAATATTTAAAAAAAACAGATGGGATTCGAACCAACGACCATCAGATGTAACGGCCGCCGGCGTACGCGCTCGGCTATTTAGCGGCATTGGAATAATATATTATGGATGTGCCATGCATACATGGATGTGTGTGCGTGATTGGTCTATGGTGGTGGATAGCCACTGACGTCACACTGGCGTACACTGACGTCACGACCATACTTTGCAACATGGAAACATATCCACCCTTCGGAGATAGCCGAGTTCGTGCGTGACGTCAGTGTACGTCACGACCATACTTTGGTTCATGGAAACATATGCCGCCCCATCGTTGCATCCATAGATATCATATAACAACATTGTTATATGATATCTATGGTTGCATCGTTGCGAAGGCTGACTCAAACTGCATGCAGTGCCCCTTCGCTCACTCAGGATACAGCCAGAGCAGAGGCCAGCAGATTGAGCCCATGAGCGAGAGCGCCATCTGTCGTGGAGTTTGAGGCTGACTACCTGAACTGACTGCTGAATAAGAATAATAAGAAGAATAAGAAATAATAAGAAGAAGGAATAAGAAGATAAGAAAAGGAATAAAGAAGAATGAATAAGAAAAAAAGGAATAGGAATAAGAAATAAGAAGAATGAATAAGAAGGAATAATTGGAATAAGAAATAAAAAAAGAAGAAGTAATAAGAAATATGAAGAAGGAATAAGGAATAAGAAGAAAGAATAAGAAGGAATAAGAAGAGAATAAGAATAAATTCCCCACACATTCCAAAGAGAGAATCAGTGCCTTGTGAAATACAAGAGAGGGACCCCAAGATACAAGATACAAGTTGCATCGGTCAGCCAAAGCATTGCAGCAATGGCAGCTGTCAGTGTGACGACGGATTGCAAAAGGCAGGAGCGAATAATTAGTATTACCATATTATCAAGAGCAGATAAAGAAGCTTACCTTCTTTATCTGCTCTTGATAA